TATATATATATATATATATATATATACATAAATAAAAAAATATATATATATATATTTATATATGTGTATGTATGTATGTATGTATATATGTTGGTTATATATAGGTTGGCTTTGGCAAGATTGAGCTGTGGTATGGTCCGGCTATAACGACCATTGTGTGTGGTGTAATATCCTTAACATATGTTTTTTCCATCGTTGTCGCCGGCGGTGTTGGCAAAAACGGCTCCACAGTTGCTGTAAGTTTAAACACTCTTAAACAATCGAATACTATACATTTAAGGATATATCAAACAGCCGTTATGAGCACAGCTCTCAAAGTGACTTCTAGCAAATTTTCTGGGCTTTTCTTTTGATCATAAATATGTTGAGCTAAAATAGAATAATCATAATCATTGGTATGTTCAACACAGTGGAAATATTTTATATTTGGATTGAAAAATTCTTGTCGGAGAGTTTCCTCTCTAGTGCAAATTGAATCGATGTGCCTTTAAAATTGAGTAAGAAACTCAAAATTTAATCCTTAAAATTGAGAAAAAATGATTTTACTAAATTATTGTATAGTAAAGCCCCAAAAATTTGTATATGTTGTTCTTGGTTTATCGCAAACACAAACACAAAAGACACAGAACATACAACAAAAATTATTTTGGCTTATGATTTGAAAAATTTGAAAACGGAAAACGAATTTACAATCCGGGCGTTTCGTGAAAGCGTGGAGTGGGTTCTTGTTTTCATTATCTTTCTGATAACTCCTATTGCTTGCCACTACTTATTTTACTATTAATACTTATTACATACGATACAAAATATATAGGTTTGAGAATTATATTTATCCGCATCTTTTTCTGCTTCTACTCGTCTTTAAAGCATAATGAAATACCTAATACTGGTTATGTCTTACATTGGCATGCTTGAATTCTGTTGACTGCTTAAACTATAATTTATAGGATGTTATTATAATATGGGCTGCATTGTATTTTGTTTTGTAGGCATTTTTTAAGTATTATTATTCTCTATATGTATGTGAATGTATGTCTTTATATTATGGGAAACTGGTTCTAGTTTCAGTCAATTTATTGTAATAAAAAATTACGTATTTAATTATTAATAGCATATAGTTGAATTGCTCAAATATCCGTAGAAATTTTATGTGAGTATTGACTAGATGTTACATTTGTCAATTATTCATCGTGTCATTTACAGAAAATCTGTAAAAAAGTAGATATTTTCTTAACTCAACCTGCTCAATAGCTAGACGGACTAAGATTTATAACTTAGAAATTAATTGTGAAAATATTCTAATTTGTTTTGTTCAATGTTGTTATTATTGTTTATTTGTTTCGTTCTGTGATTTTTATTTCCATCTACAATAGATTCCTATCGTGGGAGTTTCGTGGAATTATACCATATTAGTATTTATCACTTTCGGTTATACCTTGAATATAATCAATTTTCAAAAAATGTTTATTGAAGGCGGCAGTGGCAAAAACGGCTCATCAGTTGCTGTAAGCATTGCTTTCCATTTAATGAAAGTGCAAACTTTTCAATTCCATATATGTATTTACTAATATACTAAATCATTCAAACTGAAACATTTACTGGATTAAATATAATTATTAATTACATTAATTATTAAATTAAAAATAGTTATCTTACACGGACACATGGCTTTATCACCTAATACAATTGCAGATATTATTATTTTATATTGTAATTGTATATGTCCAACTGGGAATCGAAATTAACTGAGGCCTCCAATCACTATTATTATTATCATTTTCATTCGAATAACTGAAGTAGAGACCATATCTGTCTGACGACACGTCTCTAAACAGACTCTTACTCAATTACATAATCTCAAAGGGAATGTTCTCATTCAAGTTCAGTAAGCAGTAGTGGTGTTGGTAAGGGTGGAGCGCGTTGCCAATAGTCTTGGGGTACTTCAAGTCGGGCATCCCGAAAGGAGGGAAAAATCTTCAATATCGTACAGAATTTGTATGCGGCTTGTGCTGTTATTAATATTAGCATCACTAATTACCTATAATAGACGGCACCACTTTTCATTCCATATTAAATACTCGTTCATGTTTAGTTATAGCAAAAGAAAATGAAGACTATTATTTCATACAATAAAGTGTACTACTTATTAGAATACTTTTTAGACATGCACTCCTAGGATTAATTGTTAGCTTTAATTGAAATCAGCTTAATAGATCGCTTATTTAATATTTCAAGTTATTCATTTTATTAAAACTTTAGACTATAAATTAGTTTTTTTTTCTAAAATGTTAACTTTTATATTAAGCGATTTGTTGAATATGTTTTGAAATTGTTATCAATTTATAAGTTTTTCTATCCTAATTATGGTTTTTCTTTTAAATTTTAAAAATGTAACGCATTTAAAAAATTTATTAATTTAATCAGATGCCTTATCTCGAGTGTGAAACACGCTGCTTGCCGTTTTATATGGCCAGTGGAATTGACTTGAGTTTAGCATTACGATACTCGAAATCAATTTTGAACGAAGGCTGTGGAAAGAATGGATCATCCGTTGCAGTAAGATTTAACATATTCGTATAGCACAAAAACCGAAGGCATTGTAATTAGCTTGATTACTAAAAAATAGATGAACTTACGTTAGGAAGAAGTTGTGTGCTTAATTTTTTATTTATATATTTATACCCATAGAGGGTCAAGTAATGTACTTGTACATTGTTTCGATGCATAATGATATACTGTCCGAATGTTGCAAATCCTGAACAAAAAAATCTTTAAAAATAAATATATATGTGTATATATCTATTTATATTTTTCAGACTACTCATATATATATATATATATATATATATATATATATATATATATATATATATATATACATATATATATATATATATATATATATATATATATATATATATATATATATATATA